CCTGACCTTTCCAGTGTTGCCTCTGTGTTGCACTGCAGCAGAGTGCGGCGCAGCCCTTTAAAAAAAAAAAGAAAAAAGAAAAAAAAAAAAGAAAAACAAAAAAGTCATAAAACCTTCTGGCGATGAAACCTCTGTATCCATTTCCCCCAAAGGGGGAAAAAAGTGCCGCAGGTCCCAAAATAACATTAGGTGTCATTTTTGCACCCTGACTGGGCGGGTAACCGTCGCTGTGTAAAAATGGCTGGAAACAGTGGAAAGTGTTTTGCATGGTGCAAAATGAAAGTGTTGTGCATGGTGCGAAATGACGCCGTAAGTGATTTTGGGGCCTGCTGCACCTTTTCCCCCGTTTGGACGGAAATGGATACATAGGGTTCTTTGCAGGGAGGTTTTACGACTTCCCCTTGCCAAAATGGTGCCTTGCGTGCTCACACAGCCCGAGGCCCAAATCCTTCCACTTTTTTTTTTTACAAAAATTTCAAATCCTTCCCCCTCTTTTTTTTTTTAACCACCAGTCCATCGGAGGCTAAATTGCCGAACCAAAAAGTGCGTTTGTCCGAGCCTGACATCTATAGTGACTGCAGATTCAACCACGCGGGACATGGTACCGGTACGAGCAACATGTGTGACAAAAAGGAAAGGCAAACAGGCAGCCCTCATCATTGCAGCCTGCCTGTCCGTTTTGTTTGGATTTTGTTTTTTCGAATTTTCTGTTTGTCTGCTTTTTTTTGTGGGGTTGCATTTCTTTTTCTTTGCTTTTACAGGGCCACGTTCTTGAGGTATCATCATTGGAAAAAAAAAAACAAAAAAAAAACGAGGTATCATCAGTGAGAGCAACTGGTATTTCCGAATTATGTCTATGGGACCTGGATTCGAACTTAGGGCTGTATTTCAAGAGTTCGTGGGTGTACCAACTGAGGCATACTCCAATTCTTGTTCTACTAAACTCTGGTCGTGATCGCAGTCAGATTCATCCAGGTCTGACCGTAATTTCAGTCAGATACATTCCTACTGTGAGTCTGCCCTGATCTATGTCTGTGGGCTCTTTGCGTTGTTTCGAATGCAGCTGTCCGCCCTGCTGAGTTGGCATGCAGTTTTTTCTTTTCTTTTTCTGTTGATATTTTTTTTCCTTCCTTTTTCTTTAGAAAGGGCCACGGCCTTGAGGTGTCATGATTGCACTTCCCTAGCCAAAACGCTGAGAAAGTCAAGACAATCTTATGGCAGATGGACTCGAACTCCGGTCTGCATTTCAACATTTCTTGGGTGTACCAACTGAGGAACAGCAGTCCGCCCTGCTGAGCTAGGAGGGCTGTTTTCACAGAAACGACGAGGCATCCAAAAGCTTGCAGAGTGTGCCTAGTGCGGTGTGGCTGTCACACAGTGGCACTCTCTTTCAATTGTGGGCCCACCAGCCCCACCCCCACCAAGCCGCCTCCATGCCTGATCACTGTAGATTCGGTCTGGTACTTGTCGACAAAAAAAATGAACAGTACACGGGGTGATGGACTGGTGGTTTAAGACAAATTTCGTTCCGAATTTCCTTTCACGAATTCTCGAACTGAAAAACAAATTGTAAAAAAAAAAAAAAAAAAAAAAAAAAGAACTGAAAAAAAAAGTCCCGCGGCCCCCAGGCAGGCCGCTGACATTTGATACCCCACTGTCCCTGCCTCGTGCGACTGGCCCAACCATCAATCAATTTTTTGCTATTTTGCCATAAAAGGCCCTAGTGTGAGTAGGCCCTAAAACAACCACCTGCCTCATTCTATACTTTGGCAGGAAACAGGTTGGAACAAAAAAGGAAAAACATAAAATGAAAAAGAACTGGGGGAGGGCAGGAAGACAAGAGAAGGTGCCTCCCTATGGGCCTCGTTCGACACCACTTGAAAATACTTGAGTTTCAAGTGCACACTAAATGAGAAATTGTGAGTAAGAGAAGGTGCCTTCCTATGGGCCTCGTTTGACACCACTTGAAAATACTTGAGTTTCAAGTGCACACTAAATGAGAAATTGTGATTAAACCACCAGTACTTTGGTCGACGCCTTAGCGTTAACGCTATGCGATTTCCCCGGCCGGCGGGCCGTTGATAAATCGAATCGACAGCCCGCGCTGCTTCGAGATTTGGGCGGCCGGCGCGGCGCGCAGTGCCCAAGTACTTGTGGTTTAATTTACACTTGCTCTATTTATGGTTCCATGTACACTTGATGAAACCCGCACTTGAAACTGGACTCCACGCTTGACCAAATCCTGGACAAGGAATGCCTGGAAGAAGAAGAAGAAGAAGGAAAAAAAAAGCCCCACTTGGAGTGCTGGCAGCATCCGCTGGCACCTGAACTCGAGGAGTGCGAAAGTTGAGTTTCGATGGCTGGTACTAGAGAACCGGAAAATAGAAACAACTCCGTGACCAAGTAAGGGTGAGGTCGAACGAAGAATTTTCCTCCAACCCTTGAGCTCAAATGAAGAATTTTCCTTCAACCTTTGAGCTCAAGCGGGGCCTCGTTCGATACCACTTGAAAATACTTGAGTTACTTGAGTTTCAAGGGTGCCCTAACATGGTACTTCGGATTAATTTCCCCTAACTGATGTTCTCGTTCCACAACCCCCTTGGAAAAACACTTGAGACAGCCGCCGTTGAGATAGAAGTGCCTACGGGTGTCTGTCAGACTCGTAGGACACCTTGAAAGGCCGGAGAAAATGAAAAAGAAAATGAAAAAACGAAAAAAATCCGTCTATTGCGCGTGCGAAAGTCCGGAACCCTTGAGACTGTGACCTCCCCAGGCACCCTTCAGTTTCTTTTCCATTTTGGCTGGGGGCACACTTCAGTTTCTCGGGCGGGCCCTTGAGATGGAAAATGTGAAAACATTCCCATCTCTAAGAACATAGTCATTAGGGTGTTGTGGAACGATGATTCCCCTTGATTACTTGAATTTCAAGTGGTGTCGACCGAGGCCCTATCTTCCAACCTTTCCAACCTTCCTACCTTCCGTCAGTTCTTTCGCGTGATTAAACCCATACACCTTCATAGCACATGTGCCAACACGTACTCTCGTACATCACCCGTACCTTCCACATCTGATACTGAAATTCTGTATCGTGTACTCTCCTCACACCCCGATCAGGAGGAGGAGGGGCTCCTGGAGGTGGAGGAGAAGGAGGAGGAGGAGGGTGAAGAGGAGGAGGAGGAGGAAGGTGAGGAGGAGGAGGAGGAGAAGAAGGAGAACGAGGAGGAAGAGGAAGGTTAACAGGAGGAGGAGAAGTAGGACGAAGGTTAGGAGGAGCCGGAGGAGGAGGAGGAGGAGGAGGAGGAGGAGGAGGAGGAGGAGAAGGTTAACAGGAGGAGGAGAAGAACAAGGAAGGTGAGGAGGAGGAGGAGGAGGAGGAGGAAGGTTAACAGGAGGAGGAGAAGAAGGAGGAGGAAGGTTAACAGGAGGATGAGGAGGAGAAGAAGGAAGGTGAGGAGGAGGAGGAGGAGGAGGAGGAGGAGGAGGAAGGTTAACAGGAGGAGCGGTAGGAGGAGGAGGAGGAGGAAGGTTAACAGGAGGAGGGAGAGGAGGAGGAGGAGATCTGGCATGAGCTGAATAGCAAACCAGATTTTAACCTCTGTGACTCTAGATCATTGAAGAATTACGACAAACATGGTTTTTTTTTTTTTTTTTTTTTTTTTTTTT